AAGAGCTGGTCGCATTTGGAATGGCTTTTTTTCAAGAATTCGTTTGTTTCAAATAAATTCACTTGAGTGACCTTTTCAGAACTAGTTATGTTCAAATATCGACATTAGCTTTCAAAAAATCTGAATAACGTCGAAAAGAATCGAAGTGACCACTTGAGGGGTGGAAAAGACCTCTCTTAAGCCATTTTCCATGTCGTGGACCCAAATAAAGCCAGAATAACATTAAAATCTGATGAAGTGGCCACTTAAGGGCAAGAAAACGTAGATTTATCTGGATGACGTTCTGGTCGCATTTGGAATGCTACCTTGAGAAAAACCACTAAAGTGACCTCTTAGAAAACCATCCCTTGTCAGTAAGCACAACAGCAACCCAAAACCAAGGCGTGAACATGAGTAAGGGGCCACTTAAGGGCAGAAAAAGAGGACAAAGGTCCTCAGACACATTCGAAAATTGTATTGAGTCAGCTGAGCCGTCTGATCGGTCAGCGGCTGGTCGCCGTGAGCTCTCATCTCTCGAGCCATCTGCGCCCTCCGCTCTCTCGCCCTTTTCCGACCCATTCCAACTCTTTTCACACCGTCGTCGCTGTGGTTGCTCTGTAAATAGCGGACGAGAAGGGGGGATTTGAAATTGACACATGTTTCTCTTCACATCACTGTTTCAAATGGAGCATTAATCGGAATTTAGTAACTTTTCTATTGGTTAAACAAAATCTTGAGAAACTTCCGGACGTTTGTAAAGTGCGGACAGGTTTTTTTTTCTTCTCCAAGGGACTATTTTCTTTTTGAATTGGTTTAACAGGTATAGTAGGGGGAATGGACATTTTTTTCTTTATTCTTGATCGGAAAGAAACTTCAAAATTATTCCTCAGTTTCAAATTTAAGAAAAATGAAGCAAAAAAAGACATTATCGGAATTTTTTTGATTGATAGAAATAAAAAAAGTTGAAAAAAAATCCAGTGAAGAAAAAAAATAAGCTCACTTCACTGTTTCTCTTCGTTTTTTATTAACGAAAAAAATTCAAATATTCCGATATTAGTGAGCATTTTCCAGATCGTTCAATTTTTCGTCTTTCAGAGAGGGTCGCATTGAGAATGTCTCTGCTTCGAAAAAATCGCCCGACCTGAACCGACTTGCGCTCTGTGACACCGGGAAGCTGATAAATTTTGAGGTTTTTCTGATTTTTCTGGTCCTTGAATCACTAAATTTGGGCGACCTTGAAGGGAGCTATGAAATTTTTGAAGTTTTTCTAGAATTTCCGTGATTTCTTGACTTTTTAATACGGAAGTGTTGTATTTTTGAGCTATAGAATCTTTGAAACGGTTGCTGAATAGCTTTACAATAGATCCGAGGGTCACTGTTTCGATTCCTGTCCCGGTTTTTGCCGTTTTTGAAATTCTATAAGGTGGTCAATAGTTTGAGCTGAACTCTACAGGAATTGACCATGAGTTTTGATAAAACCTACTCAGAAGCTGTGGTTTAATGGCTAAGCATCTAAACTGTAGATCTAGGGGTCACTGGTTCGATTCCTGCCCAGGTTTTTGCCATTTATAAATTTTATAAAGGGATTCATTTGAGCCAGACAAAGATTATTGATAGTTAAAGCTCAACTCTACAGGAATTGACCATTACTTCCGATAAAACCTACTTAAAAGTTATGGTCAAGTGGCTAAACATTTTGACTGTTGATCTAGACGTCCCTGGTTCGATTCCTGTCCTGGTTTTTGCCATTTATGAAATTTGTAGGGGGGTTTATTTGAGCCAGACTCCACACGAAATAACATGTATTAATAAATCAGGTTCGATGAAACTCCCTCTTAGTTCAGTGGCTAAAAATCTAAACTGTAGATCCAGAGGTTCCTGGTTCGAATCCTGGCAAGGTTTTTGCCACTTTTCATCGATCTTACTAGAAGGTTTTAATTTACCGTTATGGAAACTAAAGTGAATAAAAGCCGGTACTATTTAAAAAATAAATTTTTTTTTCTCGTTCTAGAAGCGTTTGACTTGGTTGAAATTGAAGAAACTTGTGAATTTTTTAAAGCTTCTGAGCATCTTAGGCCTCGAAAAAACTGAGCCATTCCAAATGCGACCACGAACTTTATATATTGTGTCAAAAAAATAAAAAAATCGAATGCTGAAGTATTTATATAGCCAATCTTACAAAATTTACAATGGAATTACATTGGAAATGTTCAAAAATTAGCGGCCGTAGAGGGAGTTGTAGCCGTAGCCACCGTAGCCACCGTAACCCAGGTTGCTACCGTAACCGTAACCGTTGTAACCGTTGTAGCCACCGTAGCCGTTGTAGTAGCCGTACTGGCGCTTGTCGCGAACTCCTCTGGAAATTTTTTGAATTTTTGAAAATTAGTCTGGTCTTTCGGAAAACATTATAGAACAGTAAAGTTCATTTTAATCAATTTTTTGAAACGGGAAAAATAGGGGTTTGAGAATTTTTTTGAAATATTTTTATGAGAAGGGGCTTTTTTTCGTCTAGAAAGTAAATTAATCTCCAAAAAGATTTTTTTATTTCAGAAATTATGTTTTTTTGCTGTTTTTACCTTAGGAAAATGGTTAAATTTTTTTGAATTTGAATTTTTTGATTTTTTTCTTCTCGAAAATTGTTTTTTTGTATGTTTTAAGAGTTGATTAAAATTATTTTTTTAGACAAGTATTCAATTTTGAAAAAAACTCTCGTTGAACAAAGACAAGATTTTTGAAAGAATTTGTGGAATTTTTGAGGTTTTTTTCATAGAAAAGGTTCCAATTTTTTTATTTAAAATTGGATTTTTTTGAAAAATTGGTGAATATTTTTTTATTTTTTTCAATTGATTATTTTATTAGGAAAGCCAAAAAAAAGTTAATTTAGAGACTTTTTTTGAAGTTTTGTGTTGATTTTTTTGAGCTAAAAGAGTCTCGAAAAAAAATTTTTCAATGAGGATTTTTTTCCAATTTTTCATTTAAACATGGATTTTTTTCGTAAAATTGCTGAATATTTTTTTATTTTTTTAATTGTTTATTCTCATTAGGCAGGCTTGATAAGGTTGAAATTTTTTTGTTATTTTTTTGAAGTTTTTTTCGTGGATTTTTGAGCTAAAATGGCCTGAAAAAAAATTTTTCAACAAATTAAAAAAAAATTTTTTCGATTTTAATAGTTTCAAATTGCTTTTTTTAAATATAAAAAAAATTTTTTTAAAAATTGCTAAAAAAAGAAGAAAAAAAGAAAAAAACTGACTCGTGGGCGAAGGCGAGAGCGGCCACGACGACGAGAAGAAGAACCAGGGCGCGGATCATTTTTTTGGGGGTTTTTGGGATTTTTTTGAAGGAAAAAAGCAGAAAAAGATTTCGAAAAATCTGTTCTGATAATTCATCAGCCGATAAACTATGTATTTATACTTGAGGGAACGGCCGGAAAACCGGTTTTTTCCCGGCCCAAAAGACGTACTTCGCCTAATTTCTCTGTTGATTGTTTGTGGCGATTTTTGATTTTGTCCTTTCCTGCAAAAAGAAAATATAGGTAACTAATTAGATCTTGTTGCATCAACATGATCGTTGATGATGCAACTTTGTCGGATTTCTGATCCTCGACCTTGTTTTGGGGCCGGAAAATTAATCAAAATGGGAGGTTTTTGTGGTTTGTAGTGGTTTTTATCGTTGATTTTTTGAACTCCTGCCATTTTTCCCCAGAAATTTTATGAATTTCATGTTGTAGAAGTGGTAGATTTAACACATAGGGATTTGGAAACACCTGGTCGCATTTGGAATGGCTCAAGACTTTTTGGAAGTTTTTTATGCACATTTTTTATGGTAAAAAGATTTTATTTATGTTTTACAGGTGGAATTTTTTGAAAAAAATTCAGCTTTTAATGAATAAATTGAAAAAAATAAATAAATAAATTCGCTTGAGGGAACATTTTTTTGAGCGAAAAAACCGCTCAAACTTGAAAAAAATCTTTTTTTCAGCATTTTTTTAAAAGGTCTCACCCATGTGGAACTTTTTTAACTGGAAAAATAATGCTTTGAAAAAATTTCATTGTTTTTTTGAACAAAATATTCAGAAAAATCAGCTAATTTTTCTCGTTTGAAAAATCTCAACAGAATAACTACTAATTTTAGCCTTAAATCAAACTAAAATGTACTGATTCACAATTTTTCGACTATTACTCAAAAATGCTATCAAAAATATTTTCAAAGACATTTTTGAATAAAGTTTTAGAGCCCCGAGCCATTCCAAGTGCAGCCAAGCTTAAGAATAAAGTTTAAAAATGACAATATTTTATCCAAAATACGATCATTTCATTCCAGTCGGATGCCCGTTTCAAACAAGTTTCTTATATAAAACAGTTTGAAAAAGTTATTAAAACTGCGCAACTTATTAGTAATTCTGAAATAGTCGGTTTGGAAAACTAGGCCACGCCGCAATGTTGCTCCATGAAACACATCGAATTTCAAATTTTTTTTTTCTGCGCGGAAAATTTTTAGTGGCTACTATAGGGTTTTAACGTTTTAGTGGCCACTATAGTAGTCGAATAGTCGCCACTTTAGGGGTCTAAGTGCTACTATTAGACGACTAAAAGTTTTAGTGACCACTTTAGGGGTCAATGGATCAACATAACTGGTCCAATCTGTTTGTTTTGAAATTATCAGAGTTACTGGAAGGAATACTGGATGAAAAACTACTGAAGTGGCCACTAAATGGAGAACCTCTATAGTGGCCACTAAAACGGAAAATAGCGGCCACCATGGGGCTGGTTCAAGTGGCCACTTTAGTGTCCTCTCCAAGTAGTCCTTGGCGAGTCTCTATAGTGGCCACTAAAAACTTTCCCGGGAGTTCAAAAAATGGTTCAATTTCATCAATCTCAAGATGAAAATATTGCCGTTTTGAATATTTTCTCGTTTTGACCTTCATTCAAGTTGCAGCGGACCTACTCTTTTTTCAAAAAAACAGTTTTTTATTGATCAAAATTGTTTTTAAAAAAGCAGAATACAAGGAAAACGGTAGAATTTTAATGATCGTGTTTGAAGGCCTGACGGGTCTGGCGGGCGATGAACGACTTGCGGTGAGGTCCCAACTTCACGTTCAGGTTTTTCCGGTAGCCCCACTGAAAAATATCGTATTTTAATCCTTTTTTAGTTGAAAATCTGTTGAAAGATCTTTTTTATGGGCGCGAAACTCTTCAAATCCCAAAAAACGGCTTTTTGCTTTGAAACTTTTAAATTGAAATAGCTGGAAAATAAGTTTTTCAGTACAAGGGAGGTCACTATTCTTTGCGGTTGGGATTTGCCTGAAAATTGGCTTGACCTACCAGATAAGGAGCCTGAAAATCATGATCTGCGAAACTTTTTTTAATTTTTTTTCAAAAAATGAGGACTTGAAAACATTCAAAATGCGTTAGAATAAGCCTTGTCTCTTCATATTTAAAAAAATGTACAGGTTTAGACACTCAGGATCTTTATCTGGTACATCAAGGAGCGTCCTGGTCAATTTTCAGACCTTCCTCATATGAATGATACCACTCGAATTCATTTTGAGTAAAAATATATGTTTTTCTAGAAAAGTTTCTCCGGTTGATACCTCGAAAAAATTGATTATTCGTTATTTTTTCAAGTAGAGATTCCATTGAAAAGTCTTTTTTTCAAGGAGTTTTCTGATAGCCGCTCTGTAAAAATTGATAATGCATCAGTTTTAAGGTAAAAAAATGTGTTTGGAATCTTTTTTCATAGGCGCAAAACTTTAAATAACCCTAGAAGCGATTTTTTTCGCCTCGAGATCTCCATGAAAATAGCTGAAAATAAAATAATTTTTTTCGGTGAAAAATATTAAAAATTTAATCAAGTTTGAATTGAGCTGTGTTAGGATATGTTAATTTTTCTCTTTTTTTCTATTTTTTTCCAAATAGAAAAATTTGTCAAAAAAATATTTCGATACTGGAATAAATCGATCATTTAATCGATTTTAAGTTGAAAATCTGAAAAAAAGTTTTTAAGGTGCAAAAAAATACAACCTTAAAACCGACCTTTTCCGGTTTTCGCCAATAAAAAAAAACATCATACAATATTTTTTTACTCTAAATCCTCAATTCAAAAAAAGAGAATAAACTTCAGACTGTCAATAATTTTTCCAAATCCGGTCATTTTTCTTCATTTTTTTTTAGCACTTTGTATTGCTTTGAAATGCATCTGCACGAAACAAAGTCGTTTCAGGTCGGGTGGATGTCGAAAGGTCCTCTACACTTGAAGCCGTTGAGTATAGGACAAAAGCGCCGATTCCAAGAGCGCCGTTCAAATTTAGCGCCAGTCCGCAATGCGCCGTCGCGTGTATGCGCCGTGCATGCAGACGCCGCTTTCTTTTGCGCCGAGTCCGTTTGCGCCGAATCGTTTTGCGCCGTTATTTCAAACTTTTATTTATTCGCTCTTTTCCATCATTGTTTATTGATTGTGTAGTACACATTCATATACGACTCGAATAATTTTCGCGCCATCTGTTATTATGGACTTTTCTGCCGCATTTTCGAAAAAACTCGAACTATTGTTTCAAGAAAATGAGTTCAACGTTACGAAGAACGATTTTCTGCTGTTTCACGTCTGCTAGAATTGAAACTTTGCCTTACCTAACGCAGAAAATTTGCAATCACAAAAAAAAATCACTCAATATGTCGTTTAAAGCAATAATTTTTTTCATCCATTCTCTTTTTCCTTACGTTTTTCTGTATTTTTTTCGAAATCAGAAAAAGCATATTTGCTTTTTTTATTTTTTTACTTTCAAAAGAAAAAAAGGGGGAAAAAAATATTTTACCTGGACCAAAGTGGACCTAAAACTCATCATTAACGGATGGCGCGAAAATTATTCGAGTCGTATATGAATGTGTAGTAAACAATTATTAAAAAATAATATAAAAAGAGCGAAGAAATAAAAGTTTGAAATAACGGCGCAAAACGATTCGGCGCAAACGGACTCGGCGCAAAAGAAAGCGGCGTCTGCATACACGGCGCATACACGCGACGGCGCATTGCGGACTGGCGCTAAATTTGAACGGCGCTCTTGGAATCGGCGCTTTTGTCCTATACTCAAGCCGTTCAACGAGAACATTTTTCGCAATTTTCTATGTGTTTTTTTTTCTCGTCAATAAAAGGAACCTCTTCCAAAACGGTGACGTCATCTTTTTCGGTGACGCAATAGAAATTGAGGACGATGCAAAGAAGGAAGACGATGCAGAAGAAGACGCACCAGACGGCGACGGCCCCAAGATAGTCGTTGAACTCCAAAATTTGCTTTGGCATCGCTCCTGGAACCCGAAATGAATGGAAAAAGCAGAAAAAATGAAGAAAAACGAGTGCTTTTGAGCGAAAATCGGCCTTTTTTGGCGAAAACCGTTGAAGGTCGGGAGCAAGGGAGGAGGAGGATGTTTAGGTTTTGGTAGGCATTGCTCAATAGAAATTTGAAGAAAGTTTTTTTGAATTTTCGCACTGATCCGTTTTTTTTTTTGTTAATAGTTCATGGTCGCG